TGTAATTGTGTATATCAGGGATGTATGTGTTTGTAGACAGTTCATTTTTTTTTTAATATTCGAATGTGCAGGGTAATCCATATTCTAGGTGTGATCTAATTGCTATGTGATCCTAATTTGTTTATTAGCAGTATTCTGTTTGACGAAATTTCAAAACTTTCATCGTGATGACCTTGAGCGACCCTGAATCACTAACATTCGCGAAATCGCTGTTAACAGATCTCTAATATTAAACATTTCATTAGAAAGTTGAAAGTAACCCAATCGTCTATCTAAGAATAATTGTAACTACCACATGAAAATAACTAACTTAAGACGTGCGTTATTCACCAAGCCTCTTATCTGCAATAACATCTCATAATGATTCACTTTGCAAATCTCGCTAAATACACAAGGTTCCCGATGCGTGCAATAAATCTAATAGTTTCCACTTACAGAAAGCTACTTTTTTACTTTGCAACGCAATCGCTCTCGTAACACTATTCAGAATGACTCAAAAGTTACTCAAAATCGAGAAATGAGGGGTTCCTGGTGTCATTTGAAGCAACTTTTTCCTTAGCGCAAATGCAATCCGCGGTTTTGTTTACGAGTTATTAGCGAAAAACACCGACCAATAAGAGGTGAGCTTGAATGGCGCGAGACGGCCGAGCCAACGAGCGCTCGACGCCCAGTTCCGCTCATTGGTTCGGTAGCTTCGCGCCAGCCAGATCTCGCCTATCATTGGTAAGTGTTTTTCGTTAATAACTCGCAAACAAAGCCACGAATCGCATTTGCGCTAAGGAAAAAGTTGCTTCGAATGACCTAAGGAACCCCTCATTTCTCGATTTTGAGTAACTTTCGGGACACCCTGTTCTGATGTCATCTATGTCAATCTAAAAACGTCATCGATTGCCAGTCATCCACATTGGTATGCATAATTTAGACTCAGAGTAGTGACATTGTGACTGATACCTAAACGAAAACTTAACAAAACATTAGAAATAATAGAAAATGGAAATATACAAATATGATACTTTGTTAAGGTTATTTTTGAACATACATGATGTCTCAAATAAAGGAGGCCACGTACGATGCTGCGAATAATTATAAACTCAAAGTAACCTTTACATTTTTACTGATATTTAAATAAAAGCAAAAGAAAAACTATATTTGTATATTTTTATTTTCTATTATTTCCAGTGTACAAATATACAAATATGGTGTTTTGTTAAATTATCATTAAAAATGTATAAGTTACTTTGAGTCTGTTATTCTCACAACGACTGACGAATTGTTGGTGAAGTCTGCATCGGTGAAATCTGTGTAAATGACTAATCCATGGAACCCTATGCTCAGTCAAAGAGCCAATCCTCTTTGATCATGTCGCTAGCCTTCTCTGCGATCATAATCGTCGGCGCGTTGGTGTTCCCTCTAACGATCTCTGGCATCACGGAAGCATCCACTACCCTCAGTCCGGTCACCCCGTATACCCTTAACCTCGGGTCCACCACAGCCTCTGAATCCCACTTGGGCCCCATCTTGCAAGTGCCAACCGGGTGGAAAATGGTCGCGGTGTATTCCATCATGACACACTTCCAATAATCTCTGCTACCAAAGATCAGGTGCCTACAAGCTGGCACCGGGACGTCCACCAGCTGCCAGCCATGATCCTGAAAAGCTTTCGTCCTGAACAAGTTCAGAGCAGCCTCGACCCCCTCGACCATGATTTCAGCGTCGGGATAAGCGGTGAAGTACCCTGGGAATATCAAAGGAGGGCCCCAAAGAGGATCGGTGTCGTTCAATGAGATAAACCCTCGGCTCCTAGGCTTCAGCAAAACGGGCCTGACGTTGAAAGCGTCGTAATAAGACAGAGGCTCGACAGAGGTCTCCCCGAAGTCGGCGGGGTCGTTGACGAAGTCCATCGTGCTGCTGGCGTCGAAGTGGAACTGGATGTCTGGCAGGTGATGATCGCGCTCGAAGATAGTCTGCAGGAAAACCCCGCACGACAAGGGCCCTGTCGCCGACAATGGGCCCGTGCGAGTACTCCGGTAGTAGAAGATGTCGTCGATCTTCTCATTGTTGTTCTTGCTGGTCGACGTAGCGTTCACAGACACCACGAAACCGTCCATGGTTACATGGTCCTGCAGGTTCCTCCCGACAGGAAGGTCGCTGACGACTTTGAGATTATGTTTCGTCAACTCTTGCGCAGGTCCCACGCCGGACAGCATGAGGATCTTGGGGGAGTTAATGGCTCCAGCTGAGAGGATCACTTCCTTTCTGCATGAAGCGACCTTGGTGATGCCCGTCGCGGATGAAACGTATTCTACGCCCACGGCGTGCTTTGTTATTGGGTCGATCAGGACCCTCGTCACGTGAGCTTGGGTTTCTATGGTCAGATTCCTGCGCTTACGCCGAATCGGCCTGATGAAGGCGCCGTTCGTGCTTTGTCGCATTCCGTGGATCGAAGTGGTTTGGTGATGCATGATGCCTAGCTGATGGATGGCGTTCGCGTCTACGTAGGCCTGGCCCAATTGTTGCCAGGCATCGAACAGGATTTTCGTGGTTTTGTCTATGTAGGGAAACCGCTCTACCGTTTGGTAGCCGCCTTTGCTGTGGTAGTGAGGGTTCTTCTCGATGATCTGAAACGGCAAACAGTCTTGTATGGTCATAATCAATGGGATATTGTGTTATTGATTGATGATTCGAAGATGGCGTTAGTAATCATTCATTAATTATTAACAAATGTAATTAGTAAACGTTTATCGATGATTAGGGGAAATCGTCAGCGTTAATTGATTCATGATTCAGAGGACGTTATGCTAGATTTTCAAATGTCTTTTCAATTAATTTTGGTAAAATTGATGTGCGAGATACAATTGCTTTTTCGTCCGTATTTTTATTAGATTGTTGCTTTCATGTGATGTATAATTATAATTTAATAAATATAATAGATAATAATATAATTATCCAAAAATACTCTCCAGAAAGAAAAGAGTATAAATCGTTTCTCTACACATTTTTCATTTAACAGTAACAGACTTAAGTTATCGTCACAAATGCAACTTTTTTAACGTATTCTTGGATTTAAACTAGATTTCCAGGCTCAACGTCATTTCAAGATCATAATGCCATACACTGTTATATCCGTCTTCAAATCACAATTGTTTGGTTATTAAATTTAAAGTTATACAGGGTGTCCCAGCTGGAAGAGGCCACTTAAATATCTCTGTTATTTTTGGAGATATTGAAGAACTTTATTAACAACAGTTGTTCAGTTCAGGATGATCTGTAATATGGCGGTAGTAATGTTTTTGCAGCCGGAGTAGTTGATGCGTTAGTTGATGCAGCTTGATATTTTATATTAAAATATATTGACCTGTCTATACCGAAAAATTCTTAAATACTCCATATAGTTCCATTTAAAAATCATTAATCAGATTCCGTAACATCATCGTATTTGCACACTTTACTCTTCTCTGTAACATTTTTTTTCTGTACAACACTAATTCATATATTAGGCGTTCTGTTTCAAATGGTACATCCTGTGTAACCAAACAAAATACAACAAAAATCGAATAATCCGAGAAACACTATAATTGAATGTTACAGTTTGAAATTCGTACCTCTGGGTCTTCATTGTTCTCAGATTTCAGGAAATATGGCAAAACTTCTCCGTAACTCCAACCATAATTCCCTTTCTCAGCCCATTCGTCGTAATCCTTCGGATTTCCACGGATGTAGATCATGTAATTAATTGTACTCGTGCCACCCATTACCTACACAAAACGACAGCAATTTACAATTACATTGTCAAATGCACATCGCACGTTTCAATATCAAATATTTATAATTTGTACATTTTCGTACGGATCGTTGAAATCTGGTAAACTCTTTTCCTTTATCACATTCAGTTTTCAGAAAGTTTCTCGAAGAAATTGAAATTTTCAGCTTTAAAAATGCTTTGTCTATTAATTGTAAAAGCCATCCAAATTTTTCTAATAGGGAGTAATTCTTTAAGTAAAACTGTGCGAGTCTTCGTAACGTTTGTGATTTTTGAATGTGCGTAATAGACTGCTTTATGAGATTGATAATAAAAATGGATGGATGAAATTTAAAATAATGAAAATATTCGAAGAATTTCGGGATATCTGTGCATTATGTTCAAGTCACTAAAAATAGTAAAGAGATAAAGAAATTTCTGCTTAACTCATGTACACTTAAACAACAAAAGTTAAGAAACGTGTTATACGGATTCAATTCTTGGGTGTAGCAAAACTTCGTAACGTGGCAAGAGAAAATTTCAAAAATACAAATTTGATTTGATATGTGAGCCGTTTATTTTGAAAGTGGCAAGTCACTTTGTTTTTAAGTCGATATATTTAAGGGTTTGCGTTTTAACACGTTTAAAAATATGGATGCTAACTTTCGAGAAGATTTACTTGTATTTGTTATCTCAAGATACTGATATTTTTCTCAGTATAAATAATTTCGTATAAACTATATAACCACTTTTCATTACGGTAAAGTGACTTAAGCTACTTTCAAAATAAATATGTTTGTTATACCTGTCTCTTATACACATCTACTGGAAAAGTAGTCAGCTAAAGAATATAAATTAATTTAAAAGTACTCTAAATTAAGATATATAATTAATAAAAAGAACAGTAGGCAATTAGAAAAGTAGTCACTTAAAGAACTGTCTCTTATACACATCTACTGGAAAAGTAGTCAGCTAAAGAATATAAATTAATTTAAAAGTACTCTAAATTAAGATATATAATTAATAAAAAGAACAGTAGGCAATTAGAAAAGTAGTCACTTAAAGAACTGTCTCTTATACACATCTACTGGAAAAGTAGTCAGCTAAAGAATATAAATTAATTTAAAAGTACTCTAAATTAAGATATATAATTAATAAAAAGAACAGTAGGCAATTAGAAAAGTAGTCACTTAAAGAACTGTCTCTTATACACATCTACTGGAAAAGTAGTCAGCTAAAGAATATAAATTAATTTAAAAGTACTCTAAATTAAGATATATAATTAATAAAAAGAACAGTAGGCAATTAGAAAAGTAGTCACTTAAAGAACTGTCTCTTATACACATCTACTGGAAAAGTAGTCAGCTAAAGAATATAAATTAATTTAAAAGTACTCTAAATTAAGATATATAATTAATAAAAAGAACAGTAGGCAATTAGAAAAGTAGTCACTTAAAGAACTGTCTCTTATACACATCTACTGGAAAAGTAGTCAGCTAAAGAATATAAATTAATTTAAAAGTACTCTAAATTAAGATATATAATTAATAAAAAGAACAGTAGGCAATTAGAAAAGTAGTCACTTAAAGAACTGTCTCTTATACACATCTACTGGAAAAGTAGTCAGCTAAAGAATATAAATTAATTTAAAAGTACTCTAAATTAAGATATATAATTAATAAAAAGAACAGTAGGCAATTAGAAAAGTAGTCACTTAAAGAACTGTCTCTTATACACATCTACTGGAAAAGTAGTCAGCTAAAGAATATAAATTAATTTAAAAGTACTCTAAATTAAGATATATAATTAATAAAAAGAACAGTAGGCAATTAGAAAAGTAGTCACTTAAAGAACTGTCTCTTATACACATCTACTGGAAAAGTAGTCAGCTAAAGAATATAAATTAATTTAAAAGTACTCTAAATTAAGATATATAATTAATAAAAAGAACAGTAGGCAATTAGAAAAGTAGTCACTTAAAGAACTGTCTCTTATACACATCTACTGGAAAAGTAGTCAGCTAAAGAATATAAATTAATTTAAAAGTACTCTAAATTAAGATATATAATTAATAAAAAGAACAGTAGGCAATTAGAAAAGTAGTCACTTAAAGAACTGTCTCTTATACACATCTACTGGAAAAGTAGTCAGCTAAAGAATATAAATTAATTTAAAAGTACTCTAAATTAAGATATATAATTAATAAAAAGAACAGTAGGCAATTAGAAAAGTAGTCACTTAAAGAACTGTCTCTTATACACATCTACTGGAAAAGTAGTCAGCTAAAGAATATAAATTAATTTAAAAGTACTCTAAATTAAGATATATAATTAATAAAAAGAACAGTAGGCAATTAGAAAAGTAGTCACTTAAAGAACTGTCTCTTATACACATCTAGATGTGTATAAGAGACAGGTACAGCGACTTACGCCACTTTCAAAATAAACGGCTCATGTAATGCCACATTTCTCTGTATCACTATTTAACTTCCAGAAAAAATGCCATGATACATAAAAAAATGTAGAAGTCCAATTTGACTTACTTTTTAAACATTGTTGAAAGATTAGATCAAGGGCACGGAAATTGGAACAAACTCGGAAACTGGGGCATATACTCTACTGCTAGTACGAAGAATTATGTGATGTGAAGTGGCAATATTTCGAAAGTGAAAGCATGTGCACAGACGTCATGAAAATCGAATTATAAAGAACTGATTTAGCTAGACGAAAAGAGGTATCTGGCATCGGGAACGAGAAAATAGAGTACACTGTAATGCGCCTCTTCTATCAGGTCAAATGTTACCAGAACAAAGATTGAATCGATCCTGTGCATGGTTAGAAAAAATTCAACTTATGTCACAAAGTAACATAAATCATCATCGTTTGATTTTAACGATTGTCAATGAACATGGACTGTACGCACTGTACGAGTAAAAAGTGACATCGTTTCACCAGGAATTGTGATTTTGATCGATTCATTTGCACCTCTGGTTAACGAACACGACAACCTCTTCGATAGGATTGCTTTCGAAACGAAATAGATCTTGGTAAATGAGACGATGATTTTATTGCTCTGCAAAAACGAACTATGTTCTTGTTGTGGTGTTCTTGCTTTGCTTGACACGTGCCAGAGACGGTATTTTGAATTTAGTTTTTGCAGGAGGAACGACAGAATCTGTATTTTAAGTTTTTGAGTCGCAAAGTAATTTTTTACGTTTTTTTTTAGTCTTGAAGTAATTTTTTAATTTTCTTACTTGCATAATTGGCATATTGATTCTAATATACTTTTTAGTATTTTGAATTTATTATTTCTATATTACATGTATTAATATCATATTTAGGTATTTCAAACACCTATGTTTATATTAAAGCTATATATATAATTATTTATGTAATAAATTAAACATCTATTAGATATGCTATATATAAATGAAGCGTTTATATTTGCTAAATGTATATTTGATATGTTTATCAATTACT